AGTTTGGGCCCAACGCCTCGGACCTCTTCAAGAAGCTCGCCAATTGCCGCACCAAGGCGAAGTTTGGGAAACTCGTGAGGAGATGCCGGCAGCAGTGCGCCGCAATGGCTAACTATCTTTTCGGGGTTGAAGAAGGTCGTGCGCAACAGACCGGTGGCCGACGCAAAACCAACCGACGAGCTAGCATGCCAGAGTCAGGAGATGAGTTAAGGAGCATGAATAGTGCCGCAAAACAGGCAAGAAAGGCGAGGATGGAGTTGCGGCGGCAAAGACGACGTCAAAGCAGGGGAGAGCAGCAGCAAACAATGGCGGCAGATGATACCACTAACTGCACCTTTCCCTCCATGCCTCCTTCGCCGGCTGCCGACATTGTCGATTCATCGGCTCAAGAGACCACACCAACATCTGTGCTCACTTCGTTCGCAGGCGATAACCAAGGAGATGAGCCGGCACCTTTGGACGATAATCAACCGGAAACAGATGCCACACCAGAAGTGTTCAATGACCAGTTTGAGGTGGAGGACGGGAGTCAGATCAGCTGCGGGGAGGATTCCGGGGATGAGGACGGTACAGATAATGGCCAGTGCTCAGATCCCACCACTACGCTATCCAACGCAGCTGCGCAACAAGCGGCCAAGATGCGGCAAAGGCGGAAGGAGATTCTTAGAGGGAAACGGGATGCAAGGGTTGGAAGGGCCAGTGTCTTCGACAACAGGGCAACAACCGACCCTCATTTGCCAACGCAAGAGAGCCAAACACAACGTCATCCAACACTTCAGCACCGTGTTCCCCCCCCCATGGGTCGGCGCAACGAAGCAGCACGAAGTGCGGACGTCACCGGCGATCCAGAGACGGGGTTGGGTGGGTTGGGCAATGCGGATGCTCAGCAAGGGGCTGGGGACCAGATGGAGGAAGGTGCGGGTATAATTGTTCGCACGGGACAGGATGGCCCCAGGTACAAGAGGAAAAAGAAGATTACAGTCTTCATCAAGCAATGGGCACAGTGTTATGCCCCCACATGTCGTTTTGGTATCTACAGCAGCCAAATGGTGGAGTCCATAAACAACGCTATCAAGAAGATCCGTATTCTGCCCATGACGTACGTAATGGCGGGCATGTGGGATTGGATGGCAAAGATCTACTCGGATGGACAGCGGAGATCTTTAAACTGGTAGCATACATTGACGGTCGAGGGTGAGAAGCGGTTTGAGCTGAAAAAGAACCGAAGCCGTGGCTACAGGGTCACACGCAACGGTCCAAGCAATGCCATGGTTCGAAACAAGGGCTCCCTGCTGGATCCACGTCCTCTATCCTTCAACAATGATGTCGGAGAGAGATTGTGCGAATGCAAAAACTGGCAGGAGTATCGGTTCCCATGCTCACATGCATTTGCACACTTACGGGAGAGGGGAATGGATCATATACCCTTGATTTCCAGGTATTGGAAGGCCGACAACTGGAAAAGGACTTATGGGTCTCTCATTCCGTATTCGTGTGTAGACACGGTTATTGCTGAAAACGAGCCAGTTGAGGAGGGAGTTTGTGATCCTCCTATTTTTGTGCAGAGAGGAGCAGGGCGGCCACAATCAAACCGAAGGCGTGAAGCCCCTAAACGGAGATACAAGTGCGGTGACTGTGGCTCGACGGAGCATACCCGGAAGAAATGTAAGGGGAAATATGGGGGGTCAGGTGTGTATCACGTAGCAAGCTAGTGCTACGGGGATAGTTTGATTGGTGAATATTAACGACTGCATAAGAATTTTAGGGAATGTGGTACGTTGCATGCTCTTTGCTACTAGGAGAAAAGGAGCAACGATTTGCCATTAGTTGAAGATACATGAAACTCCATATGACCCGGCATAAACATTACTGCCCTTGACCAGTAGTACGCACACGCGCAATCCACCGGCTGTATTCACACGTGTAAATGACGGGGCAAATGCAGACGCACATATGACCGGTCATATGTGCACGCGCATATGACCGGTCATATACTCACGTGCACAAGACAGGTAGTTAACGGACGAGCATATTACCAGACCACTGGCCGGATTTAGGGTACGATGTTACCACGCGAGCCCGACGTTACGTGCCAAGGACGGATGCAGATTAGATTAACAATGTTGACAACCGTTAATACAAACAGTGCGTTTTGAGGTCTACTTTCTATCATATGATTTTGTATCGCGAAATTAGGGTTCACGACAATAAGGAAATTGCATATCTGTGCATCGGAATAGACATATTGTATACACGGAAGAAACATAGTTTGAGTGGAGTGTAAGTAGCAAGATGTTAGAAGAACCTGATAGTCGTTAATCTCGTGTCCCTCACATCAATACACCACAACCCTAAACTTACTACCACCCGGGACAGCCCATGTAACACACTCATGGGTAATATTAAATCCTTTAGATACAATACTGTCAAGAACGGAATGGTGGTTCGACTAAGGTTGGTTGGGGTGCGTAAACCTAACCCATAGTGTTATACCCCATGTAACAACCCTCAGGTAAAAATATATCATATGACGATACCGTTCACGTATCCACACTTCCATTTTTGGCCATATTGTGAGAATGAACGAGAATGAATGGACTATGAAAGAGTTGGGTACAAGTACTAACCCTAATTGGGTTGTACCCCATATAGGCTACCCCACTACAGCCTACACAAAAGCATAAGCTATAATGCTCTGACACATATCCATGTTAACAGGAATGGAGTGTTGGCCCCGCCCTCGCTTGGGCAACGCCGGCGACTTGGTCGGATGTACGGGAGTAGCAACCGACCGTTCACAGTGGAGAGCTGCTCGACAGGCTTCGTCGAGCTGCAGGGGTCCGCTGTGGTGTTGCTGTCGACCAGGGAGCTCGACAGCTGCAACTGACTGGTCTGGGCGACGGGTGGGATGTCGACCAGGACCTACAGCTCGACCGGGAGGTCTCCGGAGCATCCCGTCGACCTGCCGTTCGACCGGGAGTTTCCTACGTGTACCCATCTCCTTGCTAGTTCAACCACTCATTGTTTTGTCATTTTCACACACATTGCGTGGATGTCGCGCATTTGGAAACTAATGTTGTATGTTTCTAAAACATTGTCGTTGTGCTAAATCAATTGCAATTTATTTGAGTTACAAGTATTGTACATACACAATTATGTATCGTTATCAGGCCTTTTAAGGCGCGCTGACGCGCCTTTTTAAATAGCGTATGGCGCTTTATGACCGGCCATATAAGGCGTGCATAAGACCGGTCATGCAGGAACGCGCATTGCACTGGTCGAATTGCACGTGTAATTGCCCGATCAATTACTGGGTGGGTTTCATTGGTCGAAGATACTATCGGAAATGGTTGGCAATCCAACCCTCGTATGGACTTCTGAAGAGATGCGTGTTCACTCTGTGCCGGGGTCCGACCGTCTGACATTTGGGCTCGCACGTAACAGCGCAACCATGAGTTTCGTGCCTCATGTTGTTTTCGCGAGTTGAAAATAACACATTCGTACAAATTAATATCGCTCACGAAATCGAGTTACCATCGATTCGTACGCGAGCTACAAAAATGATCCGCATCCATTTAGCTAACCTGAACCACGACGTGTTTCACCCGATCAATTTCAAGCCGATCGTGTTCCTATCTCTGAGTCACACAGCACACAAAATTAGGGTTCGCGTTGTAGTAACGCTACTATAGCTCCTAGGTCTTTGTCCGGGACAGCTCTACGTAGCATCACCTCGTAATTACATATCACAGCTGCGGACGGCGCGTTGCATATCGTTACTATGTCAGGTCGCGCCGCTCGAGGTAGGAAGGCCGCGAAAAACACCCGTGATGACACACCGGCGGGGAAACTCTCGCGGAAACGGGAAAATGCGTCACAACCCGACGTAGAGTCTGGCGAGGATGACGGGCGTCGTCGAAGCGATAGGCTGAAGTTGGCGCATGCACACGATTCGTCTACCAAAGAGCAGTGCGCCACGACTCTTGAGCCGGTGGTATTGAATAAGGTAGCCCCTCACGATTACGGCGTGGAGCCCCCGTTTGACTCACCGTTGGTACACTCTCCGCCGGACGACCTTATTGCAAAAATCACGGCAGATGTTAAAATCCCGTTTCTAGATACTCATGAGGAGACTAGAGCTACTACGGCCAAGTTAAAGCATCCATTATTTCCCACCAATGCGATTCGTGATCATCACGGAATGACGGCAATTATTTCGTTGGCCGACGCTCTGCACATCACCGACAAACAGCCGATCACGCAGCCTTTGATAGATTTTCATAGCATGTGAGTGTCATACCGCGGACATGCTGTATCAGTTGCTCGAGTTGTGGGGCCATTATCACGATGGCCGGTCTTGTTGCCATACCCGTGTCTTCTGATTCTAACGCAAACGACTCCCTCTTGCTTTTGACCTATTTAATGGCTGTCTAAACGCAGAGTGCTGAACATCCGCCGGCCCAAGTTGAGCAACGGCAAGACGTGGCTCGCGTTGGACAGTCAGAGTTACGACTACTTCTGCTCTCGAGGCAAGATAGCCAAAGGTGTCACGGGACCGTCGATCTTCAGCTACGACTATCTGGCCATGCCAATCTATGGCGGGTAAGTTGCAGTATCACGATTTGCTAGTCTCTCCAACACTCTAATGTCTTCTGCCGTTGTAATGCCTAAGCAGTGACAAATATTGTGGATTAACGAACGATGCAGGTTTCATTTCAGTGTGATGATTGTCGTCAACCCTGGAGTTGTGGCTCTCCCGCTCGACGAGGACAGCACCACAGAGCCTGCGTGGTTGCTGCTGTACGACTCTTTCGGGATGCATGCTGTGGGGGGCAATGCTTTCAAGAACATGACCACGTAAGCTTTTGTTAGGGGTTGCGTACGACCATTCCCACACAAGCACTCCAACCTAACTCTGCTAGCTTATGTCTCACTAAACCACACGCTAATCCGCCTTTTTTGCATCACAAATTCGACCGGGAGACGACAGCTTGCTTGGCATGGCCTTCGAGAATGAGCATGGCAACCACACGATAGAAGAGATGAAGGCGAGGCTTGGGCGCTTCAAGCCACACGTCATGGAGGTGAGTTGACTAGAATAACGCTCGTCAACCATGCTGTCAAAGTTATTTTATGTAACTACTTGTGGTTTATGTGTAGTGTATTTATCTTGTCTTCTGTTTGGTGGTGCACCTCTAGTTTCTTGACTATATGTTGTACCTCTTTGCTATTATTGAACCATTCTCCTTCTCAACTCTCTCGACACTTTCCTCACCCTCGATCTCACTAGCCATGGCTCCTAAGCCTCGCTAGAATCTTGATATGCTATCAGAGTGATTACAGTCCTGGCCTGTGGACCCACCCTACTGCTTCCGCTGCTACTCTGTGTTCGGCACGCCCCGTGGCGTGCCCCTTAACTTTCTCTTAGCGGCCCCGTTGCCGCCCTTTCAGGCCCCTCGCGGCCCCTTCGCGGCCCCGTCGCCGCCCTTCCGCGGCCCCGTCGCCGCCCTTTCAGCGGCCCCGTCGCCAACCTGCGGCCCTACGGCCCCGTCCCCTACCTGCGGCCCTACGGCCCCGTCGCCTACCTGCGGCCCCGGCCCCGTCGCCTACCTGCGGCCCCGGCCCCGTCACCTACCTGCGGCCCTACGGCCCCGTCGCCTACCTGCGGCCCTACGGCCCCGTCGCCTACCTGCGGCCCTACGGCCCCGTCGCCTACCTGCGGCCCCGGCCCCGTCGCCTTCTTGCGGCCCCGGCCCCGTCGCCTACCTGCGGCCCTACGGCCCCGTCGTCTACCTGCGGCCCTACGGCCCCATCGCCTACCTGCGGCCCCGGCCCCGTCGCCTTCCTGCGGCCCCGGCCCCGTCGCCTACATGCGGCCCCGGCCCTGTTGCCTACCTGCGGCCCCGTCCCCTACCTGCGGCCCCGTCGCCTCACTACGGCCCCGGCCCAGTCGCTCACCTGCGGCCCCGGCCTCGTCACCTAACTGCGGCCCCGGCCCCGTCGCCTCCTTGCGGCCCCAGCCCCGTCGTCACCTGCGCCCCCGCCACCTGCGGCCCCGTCGCCACCTACGGCCCCGTCGCCCACTTCGGCCCCGATGCCACCTGCGGCCCCGCCCACTCGCGGCCCTGACCCCGCCCCGGCCATGCCCCGTCGCCAGCCGCGGCACACCAGGGGCACGTGCACCGCCCCCTCCCCTTTTCCCGTCACCCGTCGCGGCTCCTTCGGGGGCCGCACGCGGCCCCCTCAGGTCACCTCGACAGGTGCCGGGAGGGGCGACCTGGAAGGGGGGGGCAGGCGTCGCCCCCTCTGCCGCCTGCTTTGGCGCCCGGGGAGGCCGTGCGTCGCCCCCCCCCCCCCCCCCCCCCCCCCCCCCCCTCTCCTCCTCCTTTTGTTCCCGCTGCTGAAGCTGCTGCTGGGGGGGAGGGTGTGAGGGTGTGGGGGAGCTGGGGGAGTGGCACTGGGGTGGCGGGTGTGAGACCAACCATCACCCGTCCCTCCACCTCTCCTCTCCCCCCCCCCTCTGCTACTCCTGCAGCAGTGTGTGGGGGAGGGGGAGGGGGAGGGGGAGGGGGAGGGGGAGGGTGAGGGGATGGAGGGGGTGACCAACCAGAGCCTACCACCTCCTCTCCTCTCTCTCCCTCTCTCTCTCCTCCTCCTTGCCTGCCCTCTCCCGTTCTGCTGCGCACTCTGCCTGGTGTACCCCTTCAGGGGGCGATAACTACACTTCTTCCCACAAGCAATTATGGGGGCGTGTCAAAGTTATTTTATGTAACTACTTGTGGTTTAGGTGTAGTGTATTTATCTTGTCTTCTGTTTGGTGGTGCACCTCTAGTTTCTTGACTATATGTTGTATCTCTTTGCTATTATTGAACCATTCTCCTTCTCAACTCTCTCGACACTTTCCTCACCCTCGATCTCACTAGCCATGGCTCCTAAGCCTCGCTAGAATCTTGATACATGCTACAAACTCCCGTTGTCAAATGATTCTACATTCCACCCCTTGTCAAATGATGATCGTGTACTCTATTGTTCTCATTTACGCTGCATGTGGCATTGGTGTTTTGCTGGCGTGGTAAATGCCTCTGCAGCAGAATGAATATGACTGCGGCATCTTCGTATGCCAGTACATTCAAGCGCTAGTGGAGGCATGCTTCGAAGGTGCTGAGCATGGGGTGCGGTTCAGCATGAGCCCACTGGCATACCGGCGTGTCATACGGGAGGATGTGTGCGCCCTGGCAGAAGGACGGCTGATCGGCGAGCTCACGACAGCTGGGCATGAGATCCCTCCTGGCAATGAGATTAGGAAACCACCTGAGCTTGAGGTGATTGGTGATGAGGTGGAGGATAGGGAGTGGAGAGCGGAGATAGCAGAGCGGATGCATAGGCTGGAGGTTCGCAATGAGAGTCAGGCAGTGGCCATTGCCAAGCTCGAGAGGCAACTGCGTGCGCTGATGCTGTCCCGTACTCCACAGCCGGGCATTGGCGTTGTCGATACAAGGGAGGGACATGGTGATGTGAGAGGGGACGCTGCAGGAGAGGGACATGTTGATGTGGGAGGGGACGCTACAGGGGAGGGACATGGGGATGCGGGAGGGGATGCTGTAGGGGAGGGACATGGGGATGTGGGAGGGAACAACGCTGGCACACATGACAGCATGAGAGGTGCACATGGCGAGGGTCCTGTGGCTGACGTTGAGACGGGTGTAGGTGGGAATAACAGTAAGCTTGAAAAAGATGGAGATGGTGATATGGCGGACGGTGCGAGGAGGGACAATGAGGAAGTGGGGGTGCGTGATGAAGGTGCCAAAGGCTTGTTGGGTACTACGGATGGTAACAGAGGTGCAAGAGAGGCCGTGGGTGCTGGGCATGGTGTGACAGCCTCGAACGCGGATGTGGATTTGGTGTCCGCCCACAGCACAGGGACTGAGACAACGAGTCGCAACACTGCGCGTGGTCGAGCTCCTAGCTCTGGTTATACTGGCGTAACCAAACGGGAAGGTAGGTGGGCGGCACGACTGTGCGTAGATAGCGCAAAGAGTAAGTTTTTAGTGCTTGGACGGTATACGGAGATCTTGGATGCCGCAAAAGCATATGCCGCAGCCGCCCACATTTGCCGACCGTCCCTCTCCAGCTCAACGATGGTGGAGTTGAGCGTGGAGGAGAGGCGGTGCTTGGAGGGACTGACGACGCATGGGGTTGCAAGGATAGTGGAGGCCAAGCGGTGGGCAGAGTGGAGGAACTGGCGAGAAGTGCTCGGCAGCCTCCCTGAGCCTTCCATCCCAACGCCAGTAGGAGTACACACAAAGGCTCCACCTCCCTTTTCCCACCAGCACCCTGGAGCCACGTTTGGCAACTACCACCCGCTAGCCGCCGCCTTCGCGGGACACGCCGGTGCAACCCTAAACCCTGGTGCATGGCAGCCGTACAATCAGAGCCACCCTCCTCCCAACCTCCATTTTCCATCCCAGCAGTTTGCTTTCAACCAAATCCCAAACCATCCATTCAGGCAGGTGCAAGCCCCTATCGCCGTACACCCAACCCCTTCAGTACCCATTGCTCCCAACCCTGCAGGCCATGCCGCTTCACATAACACAGCACCCCATCCGCATGTCCTACCAACACCACCATCCGTTGCACCCAGCACGGCACATCCAGTATCTGACCCACAAGCCCAACAAGTCCGGCCCGCTGAGCAAACTGGACAGGTCAGGGTAGATGGCCTGACATATTCAGTCGACTTCTCCCAACAATCCCAACCCAACGTCCCACGGCTCCGCACTGGCAAGCGAGCCAGCAACAGGTGAGATGTGTGGTTGTGTCATATTAGTGCTTATTCATATGCTGTAGTTTCACTAAACCATGCATTAATCTAATGAACTTGTTTGCTGAACGTGTGCAGGGGCGGCGGACGACATCATCGATGCCTTTCTGCACAATAACTGATGAGACGTATGGTCAACAATGACATTGCGTGCTCAGTACACATCAAATCTACGTAATATCATTGTAGGCATGCGTAGAGGTCAACATGCCTAGAGATACAATAAACCCTATGACTGCTAAATGAACGGAACACACAGTGTTATATAGATACATTGGCAAAACGCCGGTAGTGAACGTCTCTTTATTTTATTAATATTGTTTTATATTAATAAAACAGATTGCAGACACATTCGAGCACCACATATGCGCGCTCATATAGGTAAATGCTCGGTTTTATATGAGCGCGATCTTACATGACCGCGCCTGATTGGACGCGCAAGGTAAAAAAGTACTATGCGCATAAAGTCGACCAATCAGACGCGCTCTGTAATTGGTCGCGTGTGTGGACAGTCGTCCAACTGAGTATATGATCGTGGATTCATATCTCTATGCGCGGATTGGTCAAGAATTGGACCGAATGTTCGCCCAAGATGATCGTGTTAATTATTGTCGTATATTTGAACGGTGACGTGGCCGCCCTCGCGCACGTCACCCAGCCGAAAATTTTCGGGCGGAAAATCACACGCCACGTTTTTGCGGGAAGAGACACGAACGACGTAAGAAAAGCAGGGCTAAAAACCGGTTTTGGGTAATGTGCCGGATAAAAAAAAAGCCAGAGGAAACCTCTGGCAAGACCACTCGAGCAATTATCATCGAATTGTCCGACCACGGTAGCAATTCGAGGCCACGTGTGCAACGGCAAATCACCGTTTCCGGGTCTGGAGAAATTCTCTCTCATCTCTCCCACTCACTCGACTCCCCTCGTTTGTGCTCCACTGCTCCTCGTCGTCAGCTTCCGACTCTCGTCATTCTGGGAACTCCCTGCTGGCAGATGAGAAGATGCGAATCTACGCGGAGCAGCTGCGAATTTGAACACAGCTCTCTCTCTGTGTACCTCCCCGTGACCGTTGCTGCGACCACGGACACTGGCGCTGGAAGAGTATTCTTGAGGTTGCCACAAAGAGACATTGTACGGAAACTATCCGTCGGGTAGGCATATTGGAACTCGTCATATAGGAACTGCGGCGCGGACGCCCGTCCAGGTTAGGACAACATCTCGAAACAGAGTCCTCTTACCGCCGGCCCCGTAGTATACATCGTACGTTGGTTTTACTTACCGCACAACACACCCACCCCCCTCTCCATTCCCCCCCATTCCGAACCCGCGCGGAGAGTGATCGTATGAGTGGCCATCAACATCACCTCCGAAGTGTAAATAGCGCGTACTCGTAGCTTCTCGCTAGCTACTCCTAACTTCTCCTCCGCCTTCCCCCTTCCGCGTTCCGCGTTCCGTGTTCCGCCTTCCGCAATCTCGCGCGGTGGCGGAACCGAATCTAGTAGGCCACGTTCCCTTCCGAACGCACCGCCGACAGTCTCCCTCCGAGACAGGCGGAGATACGAGCCCTTCCGGCTCTCGGCGCGCGGCGGAACCAACCAACCGATGGCGTACGGCGACGACGACGATTACGACCGCGCGGCGGGCGCGGGCGTGCCCATGGGGTCGTGGACCACGGGGTGCTGCGCGTGCGCGGACGACTGCGCCGGAGGTGGGTGAGCGCTCGGCGCGGTGCGTGATGGCGTGGAGGCGCGGGAGGGGCATAGATGGGATCGGCAGGGGTGAACCGGTTGGCGTTTCTCCAATCCCAGCACCTAGCGTGTGGCGTGGCCGTGGGGGCGTGGCCGTGGGGGTGGTGTTCCAGGTAGGCCAATCCCACGGCCATCATTCATCCCCAGCGGGAATCCCACTCGTGAAAGCGGCTGCGCATCTCCCCCCTTCCCTGCGCACGCGAGTCTCTCCATTGCGCACTTCGTACCTCCGCACATCCTGCCTCTTGCTGCCGCCTGCCAGCTTGCACGTTTCGCATACGCTGCCTCTCAAATCACCTCACACAACATCCGTTCCATTCCGTCTGCCCTCCCTTCCGCCCCGTCATCTCCCCCGCGCGGCCTGCGCGCAGCACTGTGCGCGTGCATGTGTCCGTGCGTGGTGGTGGGGCGCATTGCCGAGGTCGTCACTGACGGCTACACCGGTCAGCTGCCCTGCTACCTACCCCTCGCCCCTCGCCCCTTCCTTTGCCTCTTGCCTCTTGCCTCTTGCCTCTTGCCCCTTGCCCATTTTCCCGCGCGCCCCGCTGTTCTTGCTTCCTTGGTTGCTTGCACGCCTTTCAGTTTCAACCCTCGCAAATCTCTTAGTCTTCCAGCATTCCACATCTTCAAATCGGGCAAACGTCCCTCTCCCACAACATCCCCCGTCGCCCTCCTCCATTCTCCATCTCCCATCTACTACCCATCATCCCCCATCCACCATCCGCCATCTCCCATCTCCCGTCTCCCATTCCCCATTGCCCGCCCTGCCTGTAATAACCTTTCAAGGATCATTCGTCCCTTCCTTCTCCCCAGCAACACCACTGCCAACCACTCGCTTGCTCCCCTCCCTCCCGTTCCTTCCCCGCACGTCCTTTCCCTCGCCCCCTGCCTGTCTCCATCCGCACTCCCTGCGCGCGCCTGCCCTCCCCCTTCCCGCCATGACAGACGCGTGCGTGGCGGCGTGCCTCTTCTGCTGCATGCAGCTCTGCTCCCTCGGCGCGCTCGGCTGCTGCTACTCGCACTGTGAGCGCGCAAACACACGGGCACTGCTGGTGGGGCGCATGGGCGCAGGGGGTGTGAGCATGGGCGCAGGGGGTGTGGGCATGGGCGGATGGCCTGTATGGGGATGGATGGGGACGAGTGGAATGTGTGGGCTATACATACCTGTGCTTCATGGTTGGTGCTCCCCTCCCTTCCTCCTCCCCTCCCTTCTCCAGTCTTGATATCCTTCCTAGCCCCCCGCCAGTCCCGCTTCCTCCAAACACCACTTCCCCCAACCCTCCCCTCTTTCCCCACCCCTCCGCTCTTTTCCCCACCCCTCCCCTTTTCTTCCATTGCCACAACCATATGCCCCAAGATATTACATGTTTCAAGGCCCACCTTTTTCTCCCCATCCCTGCTCCCCCCTCCCATCCCCCCTATCTCCTCCATCCCCCCCATCCCCCCCATCTCCCCCATCTCCCTTTTTCCCCATCTCCGCGCCAGTGTTCTGCCAGCGCCTGCAGCACGGCCACATGCCCATTCCTCCATAACCCACACCCCGCTTCCTCCCTTCCCCCTCTTTCCCCCTCCCGCCCCGCCTTCTCCTCCTTCATTCTGCCCTGCAGTGTTCCGAGCGCGTCTGCGCCACAACTACATGCTGCCAGCGGAGCCGTGCCCCGACTGCTGCGTGCATGCGCTCTGCCTCTGCTGCGCACTCGCCCAGGAGCACCGCGAGCTCAGGAACCGCGGCTGGGACCCCCGCCTAGGTGCGCACTCATGCAGTCGCTCGCAGTGCTCTCGCTCATGAGATGTCCGCATGGGATGTTCGCATGGGATGTCCACATGGGATGTTCGCATGACATGTTCGCATGGGATGTTCTCCTGCACTCTTGCACTATCTTCCCCACCCCATCTTCTCGCCACGCCAGCACTTTTCCACCCGTCCTTGTGTCTTGCCCCTCCCACCCTCTCCTTCCCTCACCTCTTCATCGCCTCCTGCGTTCTCCTCCCACTCCCCCATTCCTCCGCCACACTCCCTCTCCCACCTCTCACACTTTCCCTCCTCATCCCTTCACTCCCCCTCTGCCCGCCGCTCCCTCTCCCCCACCCAACCTCTTTCCTCTCCCTCCCCTCTCCCCCCCCCCCCCAGGCTTCCATGAGAACGTGCGGATATTCCAGTCGCGAGGGCTGGCCCCTCCCCACCAGTGCATGCTGCGCTGAGGGGAACTGGCCTCTCAACTCAATCGCCACAGATGCGTTGGGTTGCACACACTTACGCTATGTAAAAAGATCTGCGGAAATCCCGAGGGCAATCGTTGTGAGCTTCTGCAAAACCACCCCTGTTCCCCCCTACCTATTCAAGGGACTACGTACTTGTGCCATCATACATACAGAACAGGCTTTCCAGTGTGGCTTTTTGGAAACCTTGCCTTCTGCTTGGAGATTGGGCTTTTAGGACAGCAGGCAGTTTTGACAGTTACATTACCTCGTTTGTCTGCACCATTTTCCATGTACGTATCTATAGTTTATTTGGCATTTGTCAAATGTCCTCGCAGTCAACATAGCCATACTAGGTTTACAAGGGTGTGATAGGTGTGCAGTGGTGAGTGATATCTAACTAAATATGTAGGCACATTTATGACAAATTACCAGGAAAAATATGCCAAAGCTTCAGAAACTAATGCTACTCCTAGGTACTGCTAAGGTAAGTTGCTATGCTAACCCTTCTTCACTCCCAAGTTCCCAACTCGAATGCTACGGTATTTACCTCACCCGTAAGTCACTCTGCTCCTGGGCTGTGGCCTCCCTGCACCAGCAGCACCAGTTCCTAATCCACCCATTTTCTCGGTGCTGCCGCCCTTGCACCCGTGGCTTCAGCACGAGCAGCAGCCTTCTCTTGCGCCATGGGCGGCACCACCCCCGCCTGCACGTTCTTGTCCACCGCTGACTGCATTGCAGCTGCTGTGCCGCCCTTCACGGGCTGGGGATGGACAGAAGGGGAGAGAGGTGGAAGAGGAGGCCAGAGGCAGAGTTAGTGTCGCTTGTGCCCAGGCTAGTTTTGAGACACCTCAAAACTTGTGCCCAGGCTTGGTCTTCTAGAAACCGCCACTGGATTCACGCTCACATGCGTGTGCACTGTGCTGCGATATGCATGACATGAAAAGATTTTTTACCTTTGGCTAAAGCATTTGTAGCATTCAATGAAGGAAGAAGAAAAACCAGCCACCTGACTTGATTCTCACTTACCCCGCCGTGCATCATGGACTCCATGTGCTCAGCTCTGGCGGCGTCCGCCTTAATGACGAGGCGGCTCCTTTCCTCCGCGCTCAGCTGCTCTCCTGGTGGCACCACGTCCCCCATGCGGATTGGGGAACCCTGTCAAATGTTGTAGCCTTAGTGAGGTTTGTCTTAGGGGGTACAGAGGTTAGGGTTTGTTACCGTATATGTACCCCAACTCACATCAATCACATTATTAGTTCCTTTCCTGACATGGTATCACCTAGGTTCGGATCCTGTGGGATCCCGCTCCTCCCGACCTCGTTCGTTTTGCCCGAGCCTGTCTCACTCTGTCGTACTAGTTGCGCACGTCTTACCCGAGCCTAGCGCCGGCCCGCTCTAGTCGCGTTCGTTCGTTACCGCCCGTTCCGCCGATACACTACTCTCGTAGCGTAGGGACCTTCTCCCCCCCCCCTCCCCCGTGCTGCCGGTCGCGTTTCCCCCCCCCTTGCTGCCCGTCGAGTCGCGTTTTTCCCCCTGCTACCCGTCGAGTCACGTTTTTCCCCCCAGTGCCCGTCGAGTCGCGTTTTCCCCCCCCACTGCCCGTCGAATCGCGCCTTCCCCTGCCCCCGTCGCGTCGCGCTCTCCTCGCCCGTCGTCCCGTCGTGCCCTCCCACGCTGCTCGTCGCGGCGCGCCCTCCCCCCGCTGCCCTACGCCCCCGCCGCGTCGTCCCTACGCCCGCGCGCCCACCGCGCCCGTGCCTCCCCGCGCCCTACGCCATGCGCCCGTCGCCCGTCGCCTCCCTACGCCCTGCGCCCTGCACCCGCGCCTCCCCGTGCACTGCGCCCTGCGGCCCTTGCCTCCCCGCGCCCTGCGCCCTGCGCCCGCGCCTCCCCGCGCCCTGCGCCTGAGTGCTCGTTGTGCCCGTTTCTAAGCACGCCCGCCCTTTGCCCGCTGTGATGTCTCGTCTCTGTCTGCACGCGTGCCTGCTTGCTCGCGCTGCCGCGTCTGCTCGTTTTCTCTGCCGCTGCGCCTGCTTTTTAGGCCTGCCGCGAGCCCTCCCTCTGCTCTATTACGCGCCCTGTCGCTCGTACTTCCACTATGGCGACTCCTAGAGTTCTCCGTTTTGACGCTGACGGTCGACCCTTCGAGTTCTCGGTCTGGCTCCTGCGCGCGCGTCGTCTTTTAGAAAGTCAGGTCCAGTCGGGTGAGTCCCTCTGGGCGCACGCTACTGGTGACCTTCCTGCGCCCGACGACCCTACCCCTCTAGGCTCTGCCCCTGACGACGCTGCTAGAGCCCGCTTTGCCAGCCAGCGTGCTGACCTGACGGCGTGGAAGTCGCGTGACGCTGCGGCCTGCATCGCTCTTAGCAGCCTCCTCCCTGAGTTTGAGGAGGCCCACTTCACTCAGGTTCGCACTGCTAGTGAGTTCCTGACTGCGATCAAGACCCGCTACGCTACTCCCACCATTGTCTCTCTTGGCCGCCTCTTCCTACCGTTCTTGTTCCCAGACCTCGCTTTGTTTGAGCGCTCTGCTGACTTGATTGCTCACCTCTGCTCGCTCGATTCTAGCTACCGCGCTGCTTGCACTGACGCACAGCTTGCACTGCTCCCTCCCCCCATGGCGATTACTATCTACTTCATCGCCACTAGCCTCCCTGACCGCCTTGCCTCGGTTCGTGACGCGCTTCTCCTGAAGCACCCTAGTGAGCTCACTATCGAGGTCCTAGAGTCTGCGCTCAAGGACGTCAAGAGCAACCTCCGCTCAGTAGCCTCCGCCTCTAGTGCTGTGCCCCCTCCACTGTTTCACGCGTGCACTGTCCCTCAGCTGCCCACTTTTACTGCCTCCCTAACCTCAGCCACCACTGACGTGACCGATGCTGCTGTTACGGCTTCGTCGCGTTCTCGGGGTAGGGGTGGCAAGAGGGGCGGTCAGGGTACAGGCGGCGGCGACGGTGGAGGCGTTGCCGGCGGAGGTGGCGGGGGTGGCGTGCCGACTGGTGGCGGCGCGAGTGCAGGGCCTGGAGAGGCCTCTCGTGCAGCGGCTGGTGACCCCGCTACTACAGCTGGTGGAGGCGACGCTCGGGCTCGTCAGCCACCTTCTGGTCTGCCGGCCGCGGCGGGTGGAGCAGCGGCGTGGTACCTGGCCCAGCGGTAGCAGCAGCAGCTGCCCCTCCCCTTGCAGCAGCCCCCGTAGCAGCAGCGGCAGCAGCAGGTTTCGGAGCCAGCACAGCGTCAGCCTCAGCGAGGTGCTGTTCACCCTTTGTGCACCTATCTGCGTTTGACAGGTGCTCGCCGAGGCCAGCCTTGTGGTCGCACCCACCCTCCTGGTCAGTGCTTCTCTCAGCTCACTGACACAGTTCGCTTGGCCTACGGCGTTGGAGGCCCTGCCCCTGACTGGTTTCCTCTTATTCAGACGTACGGCCCTGCCCTTTGGGGCATGTCAGCTTCTCAGTTGCTTGATCTCTTAGGAACTCATGCTATGTATGCTTTTGTTGACTCTAGTGCTTCTGACTCTGTTTACTCGAGTGTTGCTGAGGACGCTTCCCTGTCTTTCACTTTGGACTCTGGGGCTTCGCACTGCTTCTTTAGGGACCACACGACACTTACTCCGCTTCCTGCGCCAGTTTCTGTGGCACTGGCTGATCTCGCCTCGGGACCAGTCACTGCTCGCTACACTACTACTCTTCCGTGCCCTGCTGTTCCCTCTTGGTCTCTGACTGGCTTCCATGTCCCCTCGTTCTCGAGGAACTTGGTGGGCGTGAGGCCTCTTGTGAGTCAGCACGTGGGTGTGTGGATTGAGCCCTCTGGTGAGACGGCGGTTTGTGTTGACGGCGACACTTACGCGCCTCTTGCCACCTTTACGGCGGAGCCGGGCTCAGGTCTCTACACACTTCACACTGACCCTGGTGTATAGCAGCAGCAGCAGCAGCAGCAGCAGCACCAGCAGCGACAGCAGCGGCAGCAGCAGCAGCAGCGACTCCTGCCCCCGGCCCTGGTTACTTCCCCCTATCTGGTCCCTGCGTCTCACCAGGTTGCTGCGTCCCCCCAGGTAGTTGTGTTTGGTCAGGTTCCCGTGTATGGTCCGGTTGCTGCGTCGTGCTCCTGCCGCTCGCTTGCACACCCCACCGTTCTGTGACACCACCAGACGGGGCACCCGTCCCTCCCTCGTCTACGCGCTATGTCTCGTCAGCGTCTTGTCTTAGGCCTCCCGCGTGTCTTGCCGTCACTGCTGCCTTCGCTTGCACTGCAGTGCGGTCCCTGCGTCGAGGGTCGGCTGCGCGCCACCCCTCACTCTCCTCCCTTCGTCCGGCCACCGAGCCTTTTGAGACGCTCCACTTGGACGTCTGGGGCCCCGCCCCTCGCCTTGGCCCTGAGCGCGAGCGTTTCTTTTTGGTGGTCATTGACGACTACTCCCGCTACACCACTGTGTTCCCCCTGGCAGAGAAGTCTGAGGTGAGTTCTACGCTGATCAGGTGGTTGCTTACCACTGAGGGCACTCGTGGTCGTCATGTCAGCTGTCTTCACTCTGACCGTGGGGGTGAGTTTCGCTCCGGCATTCTCGCTGGATTCTGTCGCGAGCAGGGCATTAGTAGGGCCTGGACGCTTCTAGAGTCCCCAAAGCAGAATGGGGTTGCTGAGCGCAGCATAGGCTTAGTCATGGAGATCGCCCGCACCTCCTTGACTCACGCCCGTGCCCCCCATTTTCTGTGGCCCTACGCGGTTAGGTACGCCGCTCACTAGCGGAACCTCAGGCCACGCGTCTCTTGGCTAGAGGCTTTACCGACCAGTCTTTGGACCGGGTCCCCTGGTGTTGCGTCGAGGTTTCGTGTCTGGGGTTGCTTGGCTCTTGTCCGCGACACTTCCGCGGACAAGCTCTCGCCTCGCGCCGTTCCCTTTGTCTTCCTTGGTTTCCCTGAGGACTCCTCTGACTTCACCTTTTACCACCCTCCCTCTCACCGGTTCTTTGACTCCCGTGACGTCCGTTTCGAGGAGTCCACCCCCTACTACGTCAGGTACCCCAGTTGAGGTCTCCCGGTTCCTCCTCCCCCTCTCTTCCTGACTTCCGCTCCCCCTCCTGCTCCCCCGGTACAGCCTCCCCCCCCTGGTCCCGCACCGTCAGGTGTGTCCCAGGCTACCCCTCCCCCCTCGGTCGCCCCTCAGGTGCAGCCTCCTTCCCCGCAGTCCTCCTCGCAGCCTGCTGCAGGCCCTGTGGGAGCCGGTGCTCGTGGAGAGGGCCCTACAGGTGCTAGCTCTAGGGGTGCTGGAGTTGGAGCTGAGCTCGTGGTTGCAGGAGACTCTTGTCTTCCGGGAGCTGGTGCTGGTCCTGCTGACTTTAGGGGGTGCTACGTCTGGGGGTGTGGGTATCCTCTTCGGGTCCTGGTGAGCCTGGTCGTGTTGCTGTTGGTGGTGCTGACTCTGGGGGTGGTGCGCCAGGTGCTTTGTGTCAAATTATAATGTTGTGTAGGCTATAGTGGGGTAGCCCATATGGGGTACACATTTCTAGGGTTGCATATTTGTATCACTTCCATTCCATAATCATTCATTCTCGTTTTCATTTCCTCATGGTATCGAGCAGGTTCCCCCGTGGGAACTGTGCCTAGGGCCCACCACATCGATTTTTTTTTCCTGCCCGAAGCGCGCTCCTCCCGAGTCGCGCTCCGGGCCCTCACTTCATCGAGCCGCCCTAGCGGCCCCAACGCCCTAGCGGCCCCATAGCCCTAGCGGCCCCGCCGCCCGTCGATTCGGCCCCGCCGCCCTTCGCTGTGGCCCCGCCGCCTCACACTGCGGCCCCGCCGCCCTTCCCTGCGGCCCCGCCGCCCGTCTCAGCGGCCCCGCCGCCCTTTGCTGCGGCCCCGCCGCCTCTCTCGCTGCGGCCCCGCCGCCCTTCTCAGCGGCCCCGCCGCCCTTCGCTGCGGCCCCGCCGCCTCACATTGCGGCCCCGCCGCCCTTCGCTGCGGCCCCGCCGCCTCACACTGCGGCCCCGCCGCCCCTCGCTGCGGCCCCGCCGCCCGTCTCAGCGGCCCCGCCGCCCTTCGCTGCGGCCCCGCCGCCTCACATTGCGGCCCCGCCGCCCTTCCCTGCGGCCCCGCCGCCTCACATTGAGGCCTCGCTGCCCTTCGCTGCAGCCCCGCCGCCCGTCTCAGCGGCCCCGCCGCCCTTCGCTGCGGCCCCGCCGCCTCTCTCGCTGCGGCCCCGGCGCCCTTCTCAGCGGCCCCGCCGCCCTTCTCTGCGGCCCCGCCGCCTCTCTCACTGCGGCCCCGCCGCCCTTCTCAGCGGCCCCGCCGCCCTTCACGGCGGCCCCGCCGCCCTTCACTGCGGCCCCGCCGCCCCTCCCACTGCGGCCCCGCCACCTACCTTGCGGCCCCGCCGCCCGAGCCGCCCGAGCCGCCCGAGCCGCCCGAGCCGCCCGAGCCGCCCGAGCCGCCTGAGCCGCTGAGGAGCCGAGCCGCCCAAGCCGCCTGAGCCGCCCGAACCGCCCGAGCCGCCCAAGCCGCCTGAGCTGCTGAGGAGCCGAGCCGCCCGAGCCGCCCGAGCCGCCCGAACCGCCCGAGCCGCCCAAACCGCCTGAGCCGCTGAGGAGCCGAGCCGCCCGAGCCGCCCGACCCGCCCGAGCCGCCCGAGCCGCCTAAGGATCCGAGCCGCTGGTGCCGTGGAGCCGCAGTTACTGGTGAGCCGTCCGAGCAGCCGTGTTGCCGTGTTGCCGTGTTGCTGTGCTGCTGAGCTGCCCGAACCGCCCTGTCTGGTGAGAGCAGCGCTTCTGTCACTGCACTGCCCCTGCCCTACAGCTGGTACTGCTAGTCTACTGTTGTCATGGCTACCCCTAGTGTCCTCGCTTTTGATGCTGAGGGTCGAGCCATTGACTTTGAGGTCTAGGTCGACGACCTGCAGCTGTTCTTACAGTGCGATAGGGCAGATGGTCTCTCTCTCTTTAACCTCACCTCTGGCGCCTCTCCTGCCCCTGCTGCTGATGCTGACCCCACTGTTCGCTCCCAGTGGGCCACGCGCGATTCTGCTGCACGTCTTGCTGTGCGGCGCCACCTGCCTACCACTGAGCGCGCGCACTTTAGTCAGTACAAGAGTGCTCAGACCTTGTACGACGCTGTAGTTGCGCGCTACTCTTCCCCTGCCACTGCTGCACTGAGCCGCCTCATGCTACCGTACCTCTTCCCTGACCTTGCTGCCTTTCCCACAGTCGCTGACCTCATTACGCACCTCCGCACTAGTGACACTCGCTACCGCGCCGCGCTTCCTGCTGACTTCTGCGCCAAGAACCCCCCCCCCCATGTACATCACTCTCTATTACATAGTCACCCGCCTCCCTGACTCCCTTCGTGTAGTCAGGGACCACTTCCTCTCAGTCTGTCCCACCACTCTCACTGTTGACCTCCTAGAGAAGGCCCTCCTAGCAGCGGAGAAGAGCATAGTCGCTGTAGGAGCCTCTCGAGGTGACCCTCGCACCCCCATCTTTGAGGGGTGTTCTCCTTCCCCCCTTTTGCCCTCTGTCGCCTCTGCCTCTACGGCCGACCTCGTTGGTCTTGAGTCGGTCGGTGCGGCGTCTGCCCCTAGCGGGAGACGCCGCTCTGGCAAGGGCAAGGGGGGCAAGGGCGCGGGTGGAGCTAGCGGGGGCGGTGGAGGTGGCGGTGGAGGCGGCGGAGGGAGTGGGGGTGGCGGTGGGAGTGGTGGCGGGGGTGGAGGTGTCGGTGGCAGCAGTGGAGGCGGAGGCGGCGGCGGTGCTAGCGGAGGCGGCGGTGGTGGCGGAGGTGGAGGAGGCGGTGGTGGAGGAGGTGGAAGTGGTCGGGGTGGCACTTCGCAGCGGAGCAGCTCTGGTGGTGGTCAGCGCCAGCAGCAGCAGCAGCATCAGCAGCGTTCTGGGGACATTCCCCCTCCTCAGCAGCTCCGTGAGTGGTACACGCAGCGTCAGCGTGGTGGGGGTTTTGGTCCGTGCACCTACGTCCTTCGCTCCGGCGACCGCGCGGGTGAGCAGTGTGGGGGTGCCCACCCCACCTAGCGCTGCTTTGGCCGCCTGACGGACGCTTGGCGTCAGCAGTTCCCGGAGGCTAGTGAGATCCCCCGCTGGGGAGAGCTGTCTAGGGCAGGCGTAGCTATCTATGATCTTGACTTTGATGCTATCCTTGCTGCCATGTATGCTGTGACTATTAGTGATGAGGGTGACTGTTACCGGTGTTTCCCGCCCGACCCGGGCATTGGTACTGCTGCTCTAGGTGCTGGTGAGGCTGCTGCTCTAGGTGCTAGTGCGTCTGCGCCCTCAGGTGCTGGTGAGTCTGCGCTCTCAGGTACAACGTCGGCTTCGGCCTCCCTCACCTTCACACTTGACTCAGGGGCTTCTCGCTCCTTCTTTCGAGACCGCACCACACTCACGCCGCTTGGTCGGCCGGTTGCAGTCTCCCTGGCAGACCCCTTTGGGGGTCCTGTCCTCTCTCACTTCTCCACTGTCCTCCCGTGTCCGGCTGCCCCCTCTGGCACCTTGTCTGGTCTTTACCTCCCCTTGTTCTCTACAAACTTGGTGAGTGGTGCTGACCTGCACGATGCGGGTGTTCACCAGTTTACTCCTGCGAGTCAGCGGGTGACCCACTGCTCGGATGCTCGCACAGGCCGGCACCTGGCCACGTTTACGCGTCGGCCGGGGTCGAGCCTCTACACCCTGACCACTGGGTCTCCTCCTGTCCCTGCATCTAGCCAGGTAGCTGCGTCGGGTCAGGTGTTTGCTGCAGCGTCCAGGTCTGTACCTGATTCTGCCCCCTGCTCGTGTCGCCTCCTGTCTCACGAGACTCTCCTTCTCCGAGGCATGGCTTCCCGTGTCCTTGTCTCTGGTCTCCCCCGGTCCCTCCCTCCCCTTCCTCCAGGGCCTGGTCCTTCCTGTGTTCCCTGTGTCGAGGGGCGGCTCCGGGCTGCCCCTCACTCCTCTCAGTTTCCCCTGACAGAGGCCCCGCTGCAGACGTTTCACATGGACGTGTGGGGCCCGGCCCGCGTCCGTGGACAGGGTCACGAGCGCTACTTCCTGCTGGTGGTTGACGACTACTCGCGTTACACCTCCGTCTTCCCCTTGCGCAGCAAGGGTGATGTCACTGAGGTGTTGATCGACTGGATCCGCGAGGCTCGTCTCCAGCTCAGGAGGAGCTTTGGCTCGGACTTTCCTGTTCTGCGTCTGCACTCTGACCGAGGCGGAGAGTTCTCCTCTGGCCTTCTGCGAGCCTACTGTCGTGCGCGAGGCATCCGCCAGACCTTTACGCTTCCGGACTCTCCACAGCAAAATGGGATTTCTGAGCGCCGCATTGGCATGGTCATGGACGTCGCTCGTACGTCCATGATGCATGCGGCTGCCCCCCATTTTCTGTGGCCGTTTGCGGTTCGGTACGCGGCGCATCAGATCAACCTTCACCCCAGGGTCTCGATGCCGGAGACCTCCCTAGCTCTGCTGTGGACGGGGAAGGTAGGCGATGCGTCTGCGTTCCGTGTCTGGGGATCTCGGGCGTTTGTCCGCGACTTGTCTGCGGACAAGCTGTCCCCTCGTGCTGCTCCTTGTGTCTTCCTTGGCTTCTCCCCTGACGCGCCAGGGTGGCAGTTCTACCACCCCTCCTCTTGTCGTATTCTGTCCTCCCAGGACGTCATGTTTGAGGAGTCGGTCCCCTACTACCGTCTCTTCCCCTACCGCACTCCTTCCCTCCCCCCGCCGCCGCACTTCCTTGTGCCAGGTCCCCCCCAGGTAGACCCCCTCCCCCGTCAGGGTCCTGCCCCTTCAGGTGTGTCCCAGGTAGACGCAGTCGAGCCGGTCGAGGTTGCTGGTGACTCTGGTACTGCTGCGAGTGCTGAGCCTGGGGGTGCTGACTCTTGGGGTGCTGCGCGAGTGGGTGCTGCGCCTGGGGGTGCTGCGACTGTGGGTGCTGAGCCTGGGGGTGCTGAGTCTGGAGCTGCTGAGTCTGGGGGTGCGGAGCCCGCGGCCGCTGGACCTGCTCGTGTGGAGTCTGTCGGTCCTGGGCCTGGTGGTTCTCCGGGTGCTTCGTCTCGGCGAGAGCCACTCTCTCCACAGGAGCTATGCGAGTGGTTTGCCCGGCGCTGGAGGCGTACTGCTGGAACTGGTGCTTCTTCGGCTGCTGAGGGTGCTGGTGCCGCCGGTCTCGGAGGTGCTAGTCCTGGGAGTGCTGGAGCTGCTGGGCCTGCGAGTGCGACTGGAGTCGGAGCTGCTGAGGGTGTTGGCGCTGAGGCTACTGCTGTTAGTCCTGGTGGCGGTCCTGCTGCGGGTGCTGCTGGTGCTGCTGGAGGTACTAGAGCTGGAGGTGCTGTTGGCGCTGGTGCTGCCGCTGGGGGTGCTGGTGCTGTCCCTGCTGTGTCTTGAGTCGCCGCGCGGCCTCGGCTGTACTTTGT